TTTTGCCCAAATAGACTCTCAACAAATGCCTCTCCCCTCTCCTTCCCTTTCCAGGCAGGCGCCACCCAGACAGTGAAATGTGTTCTTTTAGCCTTTTACGAGGGAGTAGAGAGTGAAGCTAAACCTGAAGGCAGGATCCTGGCTCAGGGCTCAGAAATGTGCAGGGCACCCGTGTTGGGGTGGGTGGGGCAGGGGCTTTTGTTTCAGGTTGAACAGGAAGGTGTGTGGGTGCGGTGGGGGCTTTTTTCTTAAGGTTGAACAGGAGGGTGAGATTCAGGGTGGGTGCAACCTGAGCATCTGTTTCAGTCAAAGCCACAGGTTTGAAGCTCCTCTTGAGCAACAGAGCGGTGTCTAGCAATTGCCTCATGATGAATCAGAGAGATTTCTTCACCCACGGTCGAATGTGGAGCCTGGACTGGCTTATAAAAACCTTCTTGGCTCAGTGCACTTCACCAGTGCTGGCTTCTTGCTATAGCTCCACATTCCTGTGCATTGAAGGGTAAGTGTCCTTTCCTTGGCTGGGTCCTCAGTGGTCTATGGAGTGGTAATTGTAGGTGGTCTCATTGCAATCACAGGGTGTTGGAAGCCACAACCCTCCACCTGCCTGAGCACCTCTGGGCTGATATTGCATTTTGGACCCAAGTAGACCAGCCTTTGCTGTGCTTGGTAGATGCAGCATCAGGACTTAGGGATGGCTAAGCAGAGGTGGGGTGGGGACCATTTGTAAGGGACATGTGGCCAAAGTACCATTGACTAAGGAAAGCAAAGAGCCTGGCTCACCACAGAACCCTTCTCGGGTGAGCTTGAGTGAACAATACCCTCCAGATTATCCTCCCAGATGGATGAGGTGGTATGGAACACCATGGGCAATGGAGGATGATTCTTTTAGACTTTAGGCATTGTTATATGTTTTTCTCTTCCCTATCCTATCCACAAATGAAAACTTCACCATGGATCAACATAGAGCAGAGAGACCACAAAGCAGACATGGAGGATGTGCTTTCTCTAAGCCCTTGTTGTAGAAAGAGAGGGGAGAGTGGATGTTGAGGGGTGCCTGAAAGACTGCTGTAAGACTTCGCTTGTTTCTTTGAAGGTTAACGTGAGGCTGAGAAGATGAGTAAGCTTGAACAGCACATGGAGGGAATCATCAACGTCTTCCACCAATACTCAATTAGGACGGGAGATTATGACACCCTCTCTAAGGGTGAGCTGAGCCAGCTGTTGTCAAAGGAACTTGCAAACACCATCAAGGTAGGGGGTGCCCCCTCATCGCTGCACTGAGGGGAGTGGCAAGACCTGAAGGAGGATGGTGGGACAAGGACTGGGGTGGGGTTGGCCCCAGTTTGAGCTCCTGAGGACGCTCTCCCCATGCTGGTAGGGAAGACCTCTGCCTCCCTCTCTCAATAACTCACTCTGTCACTCGAGGTTCTGCTCAGTTCCTCTCTCTGGAGTGTTTCCTCACATGTAAAGTGAAGAGAGGCAGGACAGGGGAGGGGCGGGTTAGGTGAGCTGCAGAGTACCTTCCAGGTCAAGCCTTGCTGGTTCCAGGATGCTTCATGACAGTTGTGTCCTCTGGTTTGTCACATTGGATTGTCCAACACAGTTTTGGCTAATGGGTTAATGTTCCCGGACACCCCCAAAGCTGGGCTCTGAGGGATGAGAAGCCTGAGAAAGAGTCTTGTGTGGAGGTTATGAGCTCAAGGTCTCTGCTATTTCTTTCTTCTAGAATACCAGAGACAAAGAGACTGTTGACAATATATTCGCCGGTCTGGATACCAATAGAGATCAGCAGGTCGACTTTGTTGAATTCATGACCCTGGTGGCCTCTGTGCTAAAGACTGCCCACGAGAATATCCACAAAGAGTAGGAAGCTCTCTGAGGGCCTTTTCCCCAGCAATGTCCCCAAGGAGGGCCATTAATTTCCCTCTCCCAAACCCAGCCTTCCCTGAGGGGAGTGAGAGTCAATAAATGTGCTCATGAAAAGTTCTCAACAGTGTGTACTTTTTTCTTTCCATGCCCATGGCCCCCAAACATGATCACACCTCACCCCTGCTGTCTGCCAGCCTCGTTTAGAAACTTTAGACCCCCTGCTCCATTTGTTCATTTGTTCAGCAAATATTTATTGAATGCCCACTATTTATTCATTCATTCCTTCATTCAACAAATGTTCCCTGAGTACCAGAGACAAAAGGTACAAAGTCCTTGTCCTCTCAGAGCTTGCATACTATTGGGGAGGGAATAGAAAATAAACGAATAGACAAATAAAAAATCATATGGCTGGGAGCAGTGGTGCATACCTGAAGTCCCAGCTACTTGGGAGGCCGAGGTGGGAGGATCACTTGAGGCCAGGAGCTCGAGGCTGCAATGAGCTACGATTGTGCTTGTGAATAGCCACTGCAGTTTGGCCTGGGCAACGTAGTAAGACCTTGTCTCTAAAGTACATATCTATATCTATTTCTATATCTTTATATCTCACATGATACACTGGTAGGTATAGATAAATAATATGAAGAAAACTGAAGTTGAGAAGTACAGTTAGGGTGGAAGGGAAAGGAGGGGGACGTTGGTTTAAATGGGATGGTCAACGTACATTTTTGAGCAAAAATCTGAAAGAAATGAAGGAGAGCGACTTGCAGATATCTGAGGGCCAAGAATTCCTGGCAGAGAGAGACCAAGGTTCTGAAGTGGTCACATTCCTGACCTGCCCAAAGAGCAGCACAGAAGCCAGTGGACCTGGGGTACAGTAATTGAGATGGGGCGAGGTGGGGGATGTGGTTCTACAGGGGCTTACAGACGTGGGGAGGACTTTGGACTTTATCCCAAATGTGCTAAGGAGCCATGGGGGTTGGGAGGAAGGTTGATGAGCGGAGCAGGATGATTCCATTACGCTCTCCATGAAGGATCACTGGGGCTGCTTCTGTGGAGAACGGATTGTAGGGTGCAGGCAAGATTGGAAGCTGGGAGACCAGCTAAGGAGAGATTCCCTAGGGCGTTGTTTTCCAATACAAATATAATATGGACCACACGTGTCATTTAAAATTCACTAGTAGCCACATTAAAAAATGTGAAAATGAAGGGGAAGCTAATTTTAACAATATATTTTATTAACCCGGTAGATCAAAAATGTTACCACTTCAACAATATAAAAATTATTATTGAGATAGTTTGCATTCTTTTCTTTTTTTTTAAGCCATTGAAATCCAGTGTATATTTTACACTTCCAGTGGCCACATTTCAAGCGCTCAATAGTCACTTGTAGCTCACCGCAGTCATGTGGAGCCCTGCAGCCCTGGGTCATTCGAGGGATGAATGGAGGACTGGGCTAGGGTGGTGGCAATGGTGGTGACAAGGAGTGCTCAGATTCCGGGTACATTTTGAAAGTGGAAATTGAAAAATCAAGGATTGCTCCAAAGTTTTTCCCATAAGACATTGGGCTGGATGCTGGGGGTACAGAGATGAAAGACCATACCCCTGCCTTAAGATGCTCAACTCTGGTGGGGGGAAACCTGCTTCTGCAGAAATCCCCATGCCATGGCACACGTGCTTTGGCAGAAGTAAGCACAGGAGGTATGGGAGAGTAGGAGGACAGTGGCCTGGCTTTGAGGGTGGGATGGGTCAGTTAGGCTGCCTGAAGGAGTGGATACATGATCATAAAATTTGGGGTAGAATTTTGAAATTTTGAATGTCTGTCAGCATGGGATAGTAAAGAACACTTTCTTTGGTTCCCTAAAAGGGGGAAAGGGTGGAAAAGAGTTGGGAAGAATCAGGGAGAAGGGACCAGGGAGAAGAGTATTGCGCTCTGTCTGGCACAGGGTAAGGAAAGGGAAGACTTCTCTGGCCAGGCTGCACACTGGCCCAGGCCAGGTTCTTTGTTAAACACGCCCCTAGGACCATGCTGCTCTTCTCTCCTTTTGTGACTCTTTACTGTTGATGTGATTGTTTAATATCCGTCTCCTCTAGTGGAGCAGCTGCTTGTGAGCAGGTGCTGAATTGCCAGCATCAGCAGTGCCTGGCACAGGTAGGTGTTTGCTGTGGTTTGACTGTTTCTGTTTCCTCCATAATTCATACTGAAACTTAAGGCAAGTATTAAGATGTGGGGCCTTTAGGAGGTGATTAGGCCATGAAGACTCCACCCTCATGAATGGGTTAATACCTTATATTATAAAAGGGCTTGGGGTGGGGGGAGTTTGCCCTTTCTGTCCCTTCACCAGGTGAGGACACAGCATCTGTCCCCTCTGGAGGATGCAGCAACAAGGCATCATCTTGGAAGCAGAGAGCAGACACTGAACATTCTAGTACCTTGATCTTGACTTCTCTGCTTCCAGGACTGTGAAAAATAAATTTAAATTGTTTAAAAATTACCCAGTCTATGGTATTTTCTTAGAACAAAGGGACTAAGACAGTGTTTTATAAATATTTCTTAAATGAGTGAATGCATGGAAATCAAGAAGGCTGTTGGTTTGATTTCTTATAAATGTTCCCAGGGGAAGAAGCGTGGCCTTGGGGGCAGGAATAATCTCCCAAGGGCACAAGTGTTAGGGTCAGCGTTCCCTGGTAAGAAATCCAATTCAATCTGATTGGCAGAAGTCACTGGGTCCTCCCTGCCTTCCAACCCCCGTCTCCCCACAACCGACTGCTCAGTCAGGTCTGGGATTGTTGGGGAGCACGAAATCAGAAGTCAACCCCACCCCCTGGAGTCACGTCCATTTAGTGGGAAGTCAAGACACCCAGGAAGAGGCAGCCAGGGCATGGCCTTGGGCTCCGGCAGACCCTCCAGCAGCTGCTCCCTCTGGCGCTTCCTCAGCAGTAGGGCCGGGCCAGGAGGGCAGAATTTGAGAAAGAGTTTAAGAAGGATTAGATAACATGCTGGAGCTCAGGTATGACAGATGTGGGGAAAAGTGGGAAGGGGAGCTTTTTACTGGGGAGGGCAGGTTTGGTTTTTGGCTTATTCAGTGCGAAGCCATGTGGAGATGATGTGTAGGAAGCTGGGATTCAGGATGAGTGACAAGTGACAAGTTCTGACCATCCAGGCCTGGTGTGGAGGTTTGCTGACCCCCCACCAGGGGAAACAACCGCATTTGTGAGTTGAGCAAAGCTGAGCAGGGGGGAAGTGTGGAAAGCTTGTGAGGAAGCAAGAGCCTGTGCGCAGGGCAGGGTGGGGAGACTGAAGAGGGGGTGAAGTGGGACGGCCAGAAGAGGAAGGAGTTTGGGACCCAGAGAAGGGGGTCCTGGAATGGCCTGAGTCTGGAAGGCGTCCATTACCAAACGTGGATGAGAATGAGGGAGCATTCGGGGAAAGCCCTCCCTCATTGTGTGACCTTGGGCAAGTCACTTTGCCTCTCCGGGCCTCTGTTTGCTTTATTTTTGATGAATTCAAAAGAATTTTAAAAAATTATTTTGAAAAGTTTTAGACTAGGTGAACACTCATGTGTCATTCAGTTTTAACATTCTGAGATATCTCAATTGGATGGAGGAGAACTTTGTGTAGGGTCTAGAAGGAGGGCATCACTTAGAGGGACAACGGGAAGCGAGGTTCCTGGGTGCCAAAGGGCTGCACCCAAGAGTATGAGGGTTCCAGGTTCAAATCTGAGCATTGCCTCTTACTAATTGTGAGACCTTGAACAGGTTATTGAAAATCTTTGAACCTCAGTTTTCCCATCAATAAAATGGGGACAACAATAGCAGCTCTCTCCCAGAGTGGGTGAGAGGGTTAGACGATCTCTGGCACACGTAAAGCACTTGGCACAGCACGCGATGCAGAGCAAGCACTTGGTAGCCATGAGCAATAACAGGAGGATAACAATTCATACAGGAGGTAAGAGTTGTAGCTGACCCACCCTCTGCCACAGCACAGCGGGCAGAGATTATTTTAGACTAAAGCAAAGATTGAGGTTATTTCTGGGAGTCACTTGGATAGTTAAAGCTGACCAGTATGAGATAAATAACCAAGGGCAATCATGCAATATATTTCTTTCAAGTTCTTTAAGTTAGACCAAGCTGTTGTTCTGCAAACTGGGACTCTCCCTCGATGTACTCACATATATCCGGGACCACTTCTGATATAGACAGTAGTATTAGAATCTACTAAAGGAAACCAACAGCCAACTAACAAGAATAAAACCCAGCATGTTTACTGTTATGAAAACATTCACCAGCCATGATTTAGTTTCAAAATAGCCAGCTGAACCACAAACTGAACTTAAATCATGGTTAGAAAACTTGTAAGGGCTGCTAACCTTGGTCAAAGTCCATCAGTCAGAGGCACCTAAGGGCAATGAAAAGAGCCCTTAACTTGGAATCAAATGAACTTGGTTAGACTCCCAGCTCAACCGCTTGGCGCTGTGAGTGTGGGTGAGCGGCTTCCCCTCTCCGAGCCCCCGCCTTTTCATGTATTTAGTGCGCTGTTGGCACTAGTGATCTCCAGTCCCTCATGACAACACAGGGACTAGATCCTATGACTATGGCAGCTATCACGAAACAAGCAAGTGAACAGGAGCTCTGCTAGAGCCATGAGCCTCAGAGACTGGCCCTGTCCTCTCTGCAGTCTCACCAACAACCTGTGTCCGCCCTGGGAGCCCCATTTTCCAGCCACTCCAGAACGTTCTCCAGTTTTTCTGTGAACTTTCAGACTTCTCGGATTTTGCTCATGTCGTTTCCTGCTCTCTTTGCCTGGAGCGCCCTTTCTTCCCTTCATTCACAGACATTTTCGTGTCTACTCTGTCGTGGGCACCAGGCTGTTCGGGCCCTTGTCTGGCTGTAGAACTCCTGCTTATATGCCACGGCCCAACTCGAACGTCACATTCTCCAGGGAGCTCCCCTGCTCATTTCCCTTTCATGTATTTCCATCAAGAGCAGATTTTAGGTCCCTTCCAACTTGGAGCTGACCTGCCCGTTCTACTCTCCAGCTCCTGCTGGGATGATTGGTCTGACAGCCACCTGGGCAAAGGCATTATTGCACCATACAGGGCGCAATGCTACTCTTCTGGG